TCATATAAGTCATATATGTTCTAAATATGAACCACATCAGACTATAAATGCGGGTTTTACAGATATCTCGACTCCTGCGCCACCTATCGGCAAAATTTTTTTTCGGATTTATTTCTTTTCATATACGTAATAAATGTTCTAAATACGAACCAAATCAGACCATAAATGTGGGTTTTACAAATATCTCGACTCCTGCGCCACCTAGCGGATTAAAACATCTTTTAAATTGTATTGTCCTCGAGTTCTGAGCTAAGTTTGAAGTTTCAAGTCTGTAGCTCATCGGGAAGTTTGTTAAATATTGACTGCAAAGTTCCAGGACATACATACATACATACATACATACATACAAGTGAAGTTAAATAAAAGCTTGTAAAAATGCAAAAATTTTACGGAAAAACTGGGAGTGTTCGAGGAAAGACAAAGTGAAGAAAAAGTTAACTAAAAAACAAAAAAAAATGGATACTTAAGGTGCACTGTAAAGTGCAGGCAATTGAAATAACAAATTTAAGAAATTAAAAGTGGAAATAAAAATTTTGTAAGACTCAAGACAATTAAAAATGGAAGAAGTTGTGTGTGCAGAAGAGTACAATGTCGCGCAGCTGCGTGCCTGGCTGCGTAAATTAGCGTTGCCGACAAGCGGAAACAAGAGCACACTCACTCTACGCATCAGTTCAGTGCCAGCAAACGAACGTGGTGTATGCCCTACTGGGTACGATGATAGCTGGGGAGACATACAAAGAGGTGCACAAAACATGCATACAAACAGCCAACTGCAAGTAGTACGATGTGAAACAACCCCGAATATTCAAATCGAAGTAGGCGATGACAACAACAACAAAAGCAACGACGGCGGCAACAGCCAAAACAACGACGGCGACATCAACGGCCAAAGCAACAATAACGATGGCGATATCAACGGCCAAAGCAACAGCATCAACGGCGAACGTAACGAGCGAGAGGTACAGCTGCTAAGGCGTGAAATAGAAAGTGTGTTTGCATTATTCAACTTTGCGTTCAACAATTGCGTTCAACTCAACGCAGGGTTGCACGAAAAAAAAGTTGAATGGCTAAATGTTGGCTGGCGACCAACTTTGTTGAAAGCGATTAGTTGAAAGGCCATTCAACCAAAAGTTGAATGCACAGTTGAACAATGCAAACACCTTTTTATGGCGAATATTTTGATATTTTTTCATATTTTGATATTTTTAGCCATACAACTTTTTTTCGTGCAACCCTGCGCTGAGTTGAACGCAAATGTTGAACGCAAAGTTGAACAATGCAAACACACTTTAAGCTTCTTGAACGCGAAAACGAACTTCTTCATCGAATGGCAGAATTTGGCAGCAGAGCAGTCGGCCCAACATCGCCGCGTTCCGCAGAAGTTGGTGCTTCTAAAATTTCCAAAGAAATGCTGCTAAACATTTTACCCGAGTTTGATGGAAAAACAAGCGTTGATGTGTGGATGACCCAGTTGGAAAATGTTTGCAATGCATATGCACTCAACGAAAACGATAAGCGTACGCTTCTGCTTAGCAAATTGAAGGGCAAAGCATTACAGTGGGTTCATTCAAAACCCAATTTTGCAATAGATGGTGTAGATATGCTACTCAGTGAAATGCAAGATGTTTTCCAAAGCAAAGATAGCAAACTAGTCCTGCGCAAAAAATTCGAAGCACGCAAGTGGAAGGCTGGTGAAGCTTTTATTGAGTATTTCAACGAGAAAGTTTTGCTATCTGCACCGATACAGCTAAGTGAGGACGAGTTTATTGAATAAACCATTGAAGGAATTTCCGATGAGCAGTTGCGTACACAGGCGTATATGCAATGTTATTCTACAAAGGCACATTTGGTGCAGGCGTTTTCGAAAGTAAGGCTAAGGGGCGACAAGGTTGCGGCTACGGCATCACAAAAAGAAATCAGGTGCTACAATTGTAATTCGCGCGGTCATTTTGCAGCAGAATGCAGGAAACCCAAGAGGGAAAAAGGCGCATGTTAGGCATGCGGAAGCACATCTCATCGTGCGGTAGAGTGTCCAGATCGGAAGAAAATTGTCCAGCTGTTTGATGAAGATGAAGAAGAATATGTAAGATATTTCCGTTTCGTTATTAAAAGTTGTAAACATTTAAATTTTTCCCTAGAATGCCTCATAGATTCCGGTAGTCCGATCAGCATAATAAGAGAGTCTGCTGTTCCCGAAAAATTTAACTTGAACTTTTTGTCTAATTTGAATTCAAATTTCTTTGGTTTAAATAAATCCAAAATACAAACTTTTGGAAAGTTTTTATGTTCCGTTTTGATTAAAAATAAACATTTTGATATAAATTTTGTTGTTGTCGGTGACGGGACGATGGGGTATGAGGCTGTCTTGGCAAGAGATTTTCTTAGAACATGTAAGTATAAGTTAGTAAGGGAAAAAGAAACTGTTGAAGTTGAACAAACGAAAAGCGTCAGAGAAAGTCCAAGAAATCTGAATGTGAAATGTTTGTCAAATGAATACATGGGAAAAAATTTAGAAAGTGAAAAGAAATATTGTAAAGTCGATAACGAGAGTAGTGTAGAAGAAAATAATTCAGATTATTACACAGAAAATAATAATGTAAAAAATTTTGTTGACGTGACAAGTGTACAAAAAGAAAATGAAGAATTATATTTATTTGATAACGCGATTCTAAATATTACTAATGACGAGTTCGATATTAATCAGATTAAGATCGGTTGCAAGCTAGGTCACGTTGAACAGCAAAAGCTTTTAAAATTGTTCGACAATATATATGTAAAGTCTAAACGCCCTCTTGAACCTCAGGTTAGATGCGAAATGAAACTAACTGTAGATAATGTAAAACCATTTAATTGCCCACCACGACGCTTGTCCTACACGGAGAAAAACAGCTTACAAAAACTGTTAGATGAATACTTAGAGAAAGGCTTCATAAGACCCAGTGAGTCGGAGTTTGTATCTCCTATCGTACTAGTGCGTAAGAAGACATGTGATATTAGGATGTGTGTAGACTATCGAACTCTCAACAAGGTTACAGCGAAAGATAACTACCCGATTCCCCTTATAGATGATTTAATAGATACGTTAGCAGGAAAAGAGTTTTTTACAAAGTTAGATTTAAAAAATGGTTTCTTCCATGTTTATATGCACCCTGATTCAGTCAAGTTTACCTCTTTTATTACTCCGTTAGGGCAGTATGAATTCCTACGCATGCCTTTTGGGCTTAAAAATGCACCATCTACTTTCCAACGCTTCGTAAACAAAGTTTTTGCAGATATGGTGAAAGAAAATCGGTTGATAGTGTACATGGACGACATAATGATAGCGACGGAAAGTATAGGCGAACACTTTGGTATTTTGACAGAGGTATTACGACGTTTGGTGCAGAATAAGCGTGAGTTGAGAATTGACAAGTGTGAGTTCTTTCAAACTGATGTAAAATATTTAGGTTACACAATATCTAAAAGTGGTATAAAAGCAGACGAAAAAGGTCTTGAGGCTATTCGAAATTTTCCTGCGCCCACGAAAGTAAATTCAGTTCAAAGCTTTCTTGGGCTTTGTTCCTATTTTCGCAGGTTCGTGAAGAACTTCTCTCTCATTGCTAAGCCACTGTATGATTTGACAAGAAAGGATAAAAAGTTTAGGTTTGGAGAAGAAGAATTGAAATGTTTTGAAACACTTAAAGAAAAGTTATTAGAAATATTGGCTTTGTATAGTCCGCAAGATGAAACAGAATTGCATTGCGATGCAAGTTCGACAGGCTTCGGAGCAATACTCATGCAGAAGAAAGCAGATGGGAAAATGCACCCAGTCTTTTATTTCTCAAAGCGTACGAGCGAAGCAGAGTCAAAGTACCATAGCTTCGAACTAGAAACGCTTTCCATAATTTACGCTCTCAAACGTTTTCGTGTATACTTACAAGGCTTAAAGCTTAAAATAGTCACAGACTGTAATTCGCTAGCGCTGACTCTTAACAAAAAAGAGTTAAATCCGAGAATCGCTAGATGGGCTTTAGAGCTCCAAAACTACGACTATGTCCTAGAACATCGACCGGGCTCTCGAATGCAGCACGTCGATGCCCTCAGTAGATGTAATAATGTCCTCACAATTGAACCAAATACGTTTGAAGAAAGTTTGATTATCTGCCAAGGCAAATACACTAAGATACAGGAGTTACGTGAAAAGTTAGAAAAGAGTGAGCACAGTTTATTCGAAATGCGAAACGGGGTTATATACAGAAAAAAAGAGAACGGCGAGGTTCTCATCTATGTGCCGAGCGAGATGGAAAGTCATGTCATGTTCAAATATCATGACGAAATGGGACATACAGGCATAGATAAAACGCTAGATCTTATTTCAAAGGGTTATTGGTTTCCACAAATGAAATCTAAAACAGCAAGTCATATTCAAAACTGTTTAAAATGTATAGTTTTCTCGTCTAAACGCGGACGCGAAGAAGGGTTTCTGCACAACATTCCAAAAGACGGTAGTCCTTTCGAAGTAGTACATATTGACCATTTCGGACCGGTAGATAACTCACGAGCAAAGAAGCACATTTTAGTAGTAATCGACGCTAGTACGAAGTTCGTTAGGCTTTACCCGACAAAGACTACAAGTACCAAGGAGGTAATTACAGCTATGAAAGATTATTTTCGTTCGTATAGCCGGCCGAAGTGCATAGTCTCAGATAGAGGTAGCAGTTTCACATCAAACGAGTTTCGACAATTTTTGGAGTCAGAAAACGTAAAACATATAAAGATTGCGACAGGTTCACCACAGGCTAACGGCCAAGTCGAGAGAGTGAACAGGACATTAGGGCTGATGATTGCGAAATTGACTGATTCAGAAAAGAATGTACACTGGGATAATGTAATAGACACAGTGGAGTATGTTATTAATAACACCATACACCGTACAATCAAAGAATATCCCAGTGTATTGCTTTTCGGGGTAAAACAACGAGGAAAGTTAGAAGATGTATTAGTGGAGAGTTTAAACAGCATAGAAAAACCAGCTTTAAGAAATCACAAAGAAGTTAGAGAAAAAGCGAAGGAGAATGAAAAGAAGGTACAGAATTATAACAAACAGTATGTAGACAGAAAAAGGCAAAGTCCTACTGAATACAAAGAGGGTGATTATGTCATGATAAAGAATTTCGATTCTCATGTGGGTACATCTAAAAAACTGCTTCTAAAAGTTAAAGGGCCTTACAAAGTATTAAAACTTTTGCGCAATGATAGATACGTTCTTGGAGATGTAGAAGGGTTTCAACAGTCTAGAATACCGTATAAAGGCGTATGGGCAGTAGGAAACATTCGACCGTGGTTCAAGGGGTGCAAAGACAATCAAAAAAGAGATCAGGAGATCTCAATTGTCAGGATGGCCGAACTGTAGTAGGCAACACTGTATTAATGTTTGTTTTTTTTATGTAGTACACACTGTATTCATTTGGATATAAGTATATATGTACATACATACATGCCTATATATGTGCATACATATTTATATAAATAGCTAATAAGTCACCGTTAGGTTTCGAACGCTTGTTCTTCGCTTTATTGTACATACTTGTACATAGATACATGCTTATATGTATACCTTTCATTGTTACTAAGTAAGTTTCTCTAGAATTCTGTCTCGCTTTTGTAAGCTTGTATACGTATGTATGTATATGCATACATACATACATAGATATATGCACATAAGTATCATAGCTTGTAAGCATCTTTGTACAGCGAACTGATTTCATAATAAAGTTGACATTGAAAGTGGTCGGTCATCTTCATTTCTAACCTAGGTCATAAGCAACCTGTGTGCAAAATTTCATGCAAATCCGTTTAGTCGTTTCCGCGTATTAATTTAATTAAATTTTTTTAACAGGTGGCAACTCTTCCAAAAAATTAGCCTATTTTCCACTGTAGGTCATAAGCTATCTGCTTGCCAAATTTCATGCAAATCCATTCAGTCGTTACCGCGTATTAATTTAATGAAACTTTTTTAACAGATGGCAACTCTTAAGAAAAGAAGCCTATTTGCCAATCCAGGTCATAAGCTACCTTTGTGCAAATGCACTCAGTCGTTCCCGCATATTAAATAAATTAAACTTTTTTAACAGGTGGCAACTCTTAAAAAAATAGCCTGTTAACCAATCTGCCCCATAGGCTATCTGCGTAAAAATTTCATGCAAATCCGTTCAGTCGTTTCCGCGTGATGACTTCCCAAACATCCAAACATACAAACTTTCACATTTATAATATTAGTAAGATCTGCATGCGTGCATACAATCCTTTACTCGAAATTCTTAGTTGATGCAATTTTTATCCCATACATTTTTGCTGACCAAACAACCCGTTTGCCTAATCTGCTTGCCTCATTTGCCTCGCTCGTTAAGGTCGGTGTTATGCAGAAATTTTGTTTGGCAAACTGCGTGCAATTGTTGTTGCAGCAAACTCGGAGAGAGTGAGTTTGGCGACTCTCACAGCAAACTAATTTTGTTTGGTCAAACTGCAGAAAATTCGGCGTTGTCATATACAAAAATTTTAGACAATTGTTGCTATACACGAAATTCTCATTTCGTGTTGGCAATAGCCATGAAAACCATAATGAACGTGCAACCCTGTGCCAAACTCGACATAACCACCTCCGAGCAAACTAAGCAGCCGCGATTTAATTTGGCAAACAAAAATTTGTCTGCATAACACCGACCTTACTCGCCTCATTTGCCTCGCTCGTCTGCTGCTGCAAATGAGTGCCTCGCTCGCAACGACGTCCTCGCGAGAGAAGAGCTAATGAGGTGCTCGTTTGCGTG